TTAACTCTTCACAAAGCAGGCTTTAGCGCATGAAGAACCTTTAAAGGCCTTAGAGAAAGGCGGGTACCCAGTTTTTAGCAAAAGCACCTTCACAACTTAAAACCATGTTCTCCGGCCTGGTATCTTCAGTCCTCCAGCACAAATGGTGATTTGATTTCTGTTCATCATAATTCATTCAAAATCTCTGAAACTGGCCAGATGAACAATACCAAACAGTAATTCCTTTGAGTAGGAACCTTTTCTCATGGATGAGACAAAAGAACAAGCTAAATACCTGCCTGATTTTACTTAAACAGGAACCTTTTCCTGCCCTCGGATTAAATTATAGCCTTTAAAAAGAGCTTCTAGATTTAATATGTTTCATAGAATAAACATGATTAGACAGACATGATTTGTCTCTTCATTCTCTTAGCTGTTGGTTTAAAAGCCTTCAAGCCACCAAATCTGGATTCATACAACACACTAAGCCAAAGCCAAACAAAATTCATGATGTGTAATCCCAGTCATTTAAAATGAGAAAGTAGAGTAAGAAAGAGCAGAGTAGGAGAGAATGTAGAGTAGAGTAGGAGAGAGAGGAGAGAAGAGAAGAGAGAACTTTATTGCAATCCATGATCAGTCTAAATTCCAAATTGGTTATTTGTACCTTGGAGTTCATAATCTTAGCCAATAATGTATTTTATCAGACATAACCCTGGGATATTTTGCACTACATTATTCTACAGTCCTTCTATATCTGAACATTTGTGATATTTTTTTAATTTTTGCATTAATTATCTTATACATCTAGTAGGTAAAAGGTGGAATTACAAATGAAAAATGTACATATACATTGTACGAAAATCCACATTCAGATCTTATTCTAATGATTTTAGAATTCTCTCTAAATGGATAAATTCCATGCAAAATGAGGTTTAAAATTCAGTAGTGTCCTACCTGATAGGGTTATTGTCAGATCTTGAGATAATTTTCTAAAACAACATGAACACACAAAAATGTCAGACACTTTTTGATTGCCAGGCAATCCTGGCCAACACCCAATTTAAAAAATTCATGGATAAAATTTTACAGACTACTAGGATTCCATGAATATATTACCAATCATTTAAGATTGAAAGTAAAAACTAAAATGGGAGGGAAATACCCAACTAATTTAATTTTGATTTGGCTTATTTTAAATCCTTTAAAATATTCTTCAGTTTAAATGAAAATTTGCAAGACATCATACTATTCATAGATACACAGCAAAAAAGTTATCACTGTTACAAACTAATTACTGAGGAAATCAGAGCAAACTACGAACCCTCATCTGCAGTCAATTGTTCAAAAACATCAAAAGGAGTCTAAATGGGAGCAATTAAAGGCTGCACTAAAAAGCCTTTGATAACTAAAAAATATGATTCAACCAGTTAAATATCTCTGCTAAGCCAATTCCAGAGCAAAAAAGCCATAACTGAAAAATGGGGATATCTTAAGGGTTAAGCTTAGGTTTAGACTTAGGCCAGGGGTCTTCAAACGTGGCAACTTTAAGACTTGTGAAATCAAGGAATTCTGGGAGTTGAAGCCCACAAGTCTTAAAGTTGCCACGTTTGAAGACCCCTGGCTTAGGTTTAGGTTACTTCATAAATGAGGAGTTTGGGCTGTGATCATGCAATTGCAGTCACCATCTTGACCGTTTTTGAGCCTTCAGGTTGCTGCTACTGAAAGGGCCCTTAGTCCAGTCTCTACCTACAGTATCTTGCTTTGGAAGGCCCTTTGAAGAAACGTCCAGTTTCAGACAGGGAGAAATAGGCCACTCTTGAGAGACCTGGAAGACCATTCCCTACAAGTCTTCACCCATTTCTTTATTCATGTCTTGTATTTCTACTCTGCTGTTCCTCCAGCAGCTCAAAATCTTAGAAGTCTGGAAGTTTTCAAAACTTGTATGGAATGGTAGAAATAAAAGAATGTTGCCCTATCAAGGTAGAGACTCATCAAAAGTGTTGAGAATCGTGAACTGAGAGAAGGATTATGAAGGTCTAGTCATGAAACAAAATGCACAGGTGATGTTACCTAGTTTGGGTAATGAAACGTCTGCGAGAAAACAACCAAGCTGAGAGAAAATCAAGGGCCCCTCAGAAAAAGTATGCCCAGCTCCTTTCAAAATCTTGTCTGGGGAAGCTTAGCCTTCCCCAACCTAGCACCCTCAAGCAGCGTTTGCTGGCTGTGGAATTCTGGGAGTTGAAGTCCACATGCCTTAAAATTGTCAAGGTTGAGAAACACTGTAAAGAGCCACAATATCCCTCATCCTCGGTTGCCTTCAAGACCTTGTCCCATTTGGCTTCCTCTTTCCACTCGGGTTTCTCCAGAGACAGAAACCTTCTCCCTCACCATAGTGGAGCCCACCTAGAAGACGCCAGGCTGGCGAAAGGCTGTTGGTGGACCTCTCCTCAACCCTTTGAAGCTCCTTCGCCTGGAAAGGGATGGAATTTCCAAACGGGGAGGCAAAGCTCAGCTGACTTTGTTGTCCTGCTGAATTCACAGACGTGGACCAATTCACAAATTCCTGTGACCAGGAAGATGCCAGCCCTGATGTAAAACAGGAGCTAGGCTCAAGCAGAGAAGACAGGGGAAACCAGGGGCAATTTGAATGTTAATTTATTTTCTTTATAAACTAGGTGTGAGGTTCAGGAACCTCATCTTGCTCTGCCTTGTTCCTTGATTCCATTGTCTTCAGACCAGGGGCTGATCTGCCATATCAAGCAACAGACCTTCTTTTGACACATTTTTTTTTGGGGGGGGAAGGGGGGGCTTTGATATGCATCCTGGCTTCTGTTCCTTTTCTTTAGCAGTTATATTGCCGGAAAGACTGATGGTTTTCACAGCAAATAAAGAGGCCCTTTTATTGTGTTCCTAAAAAATGCTCTGTGAATTTTATGGCCAAGGGGAAATCTGCTCCCCCACCCCACCCCAAAGAGCAAGGCAGAGCCTCAGACTGCTAGAATAACTGGAGCATCCTTAAAACAGGTCTGGGTTTTAAAACACCTGGCGAGTTGTTTTGTTCAGAGTCAACAACCTGATTCTCACTGATTACAAAAGATCCCTTTAAATGGGTCTTCCACCATTCCTTTAACAAATTCCCATTACACATTCCAGTCCAGGGCGCACCCCTCTCCTTTCCTAACTTCTCCCATCTCACTAAAAAAAAACAAACTATTCTTTTTAGCCTTGGTATATCCTCATATTCTACTTCCCAGCCTCTGTTTCAATGCCTGTTTGGTTCCTCTGTTTTTAAAAGGAAGAACTTTAAGAGGTTTATTTTTATTTTTATTTATTTATTTTGCTTTCTGGTGCTTTGGAAAAGTAGCTTGACTCTCTCTGCCACAAAGTTCCTGATTCAGGGTAAGAAAGTCACATCATCACACAAATGTCATATGGGCATGTTATTTGTGTAATGTTGTGATATACATGGTCTCTACCAGATGCCTATGTCTACCAAACAGAAGAAGGCTATTTCAGTGGCAGATCATTTGTGCTGCTTTGTGAAAATTACTGAAACCAAAATTACGTTCTTAAGATATTATCGGTTCGGTCATTTTCTCCAAAGGTAAACAGTCAAAGCATATTTCTCTTTCTAAAAGGTATCTGTAATTCTGACATATGAACAAAATGGAATTCCTATAAATACAATCTTTCATAGTAAGGCTGGCATCTATTGTTACTTTCAAAAGGCAGGACCTTTAAGCAAAAGATCCCAACTCATGACTTATCTCCCCTCTACCTATATTTATCTTTGGGTTTCTGGTTGCCTAGATCACTCTCCTAATGTACAGCTGCCTATTATAAGTATCAGTCCTACAAAAATTCAGTGTGCTGGCAAATTCAGTGAGTGCCCAACAGGTTCTGGCCAGTTAGGCTTTTGTGTTTTTTTGCATTGTTTTGGGGTGGACCTTTCAATATTCTGGACTATCTCTATTATTCCCGTAAACCAAAAGGGTTGAAGATGTGGTCTAATACTTCTGAAGATCAGCCTGAGAAAGACTTCCATTAAGACAAGGGGCCAGGGCTGTCCTTCAGGTTTAGTGTAAAATGACATGTTTACAGGCCAGGAACACATTCATGCATGGCTAATATTTCCAGCACAAAATGTCTGCCCATCTAAATTCTGATGGCCTTGTAATAATTGCTGTTGGCCACAATCTACTTCTTTCTCGTCTCTAGAAACCTACCACAATCAGTATTTGCAGATGAACTAGGGAATGTTTTTGCAAGCTTTTAATGGTTTTGGAAGTTATGGGTAAGGATGCCTGTAGAGCAAAACCAAAATGTGCTTGAATATGCTTTCTTATCCCTGACCCAGCTGATATGGTTATATGCACACTTTGAAAATGATTGAAAAAAACTCTGATTCTCATGCAATTGTGGCATCTCTCTGCCATTTCTTAAGGCAATCTGACTTTTGCCAAGAATTCTTCATGGGTGGGAAATCAGCAACCACTGCTTTGAGAAACCAACTCATTCCACGAATGTCACTTTTAAAACAGCAGCATGTTTTTGTAAGCTTGCACAGAAGTCTATAAAACAAAGGAGTGGCATTAATGAGTAGCAGTGAGATGCTGGGTTCATACAAAGTACTTCTTCCAAATCATTTTTGAAGCATGAGAATTAGACCAGAGGTGCTTTGTCAATAGTATTATTTATATTGGAATTGGAATATTCTTTATCGGCCAAGTGTGATTGAACACACAAGCAATTTGTCTCCAGTGCATAAACCCTCAGTGTACATACAGTACACTTACATACAGTGCATGTATTCTTCATAGCAATATAAAGAATGAATAGTAATTTTTCATACATGGCATTATTTATAATGCTGCTTGGAAAACAGGCTTAGCAAAAGTAGGTGTGCTAGTGTTTTCCAGCATACGTGTGTCTTCATTATCTGGTTTAGCCAAAGCCTGGATTAGACAGGTTCATGATTTCAGGAGCAAATGCAAACTTTTCCTTCTTTCTCTTTTCAACAGGTAAAACAAGAACAAGAGAGAAATACCGGGTGGTATACACAGATCATCAGAGGTTGGAACTAGAGAAGGAGTTTCACTACAGCAGATACATCACTATCCGAAGGAAGTCTGAACTCGCTGCAAACCTAAGACTTTCTGAGAGACAGGTAGAGCATCCGCGACCTACGTGTATCGGGGCTTCTGTCCAATTCAGAGCAGAGGACCACTTGGGTGGATGGGGAAAACATGGAGCAAATGTCCCCTGAGGTCCTTGGTGCTCGTTCTCTCTCTCTCTCTCTCTCTCTCTCTCTCTCTCTCTCTCTCTCTCTGAGCTTGGCAATTTTCTTGCAGACATGTCTGCTAGCACTAACGATGTCGCCTAGCTGGGTTATGAAAAGCAACAGAGCAACAAGCTCAGAGACTACCAGGGTTAGCCCTGAGCTACAAATATTAGGGCAGTGATGGCGAACTTTTTAGAGACTGAGTGCTCAAACTGCAACCCAAAATCCACTTATGCATTGTCGAGTGCCGGGTGGGTGAGGCCCATTGGCTGGGCGTGGCCAATTGGCTGGGCATGTTGAAATTGACTGATTGAACCTTTTTTTTTTTTTTTGCACATGGTGGCAGAGGTTAAAGCAAAAAGGTTTTATAAAACCCAGCTGAAGGCCTAGGACTGGGGCTACAATGCGCGTGCCCACAGAGAGGGCTCTGAGTGCCACCTCTGGCACCTGTGCCATAGGTTCGCCACCACTGTATTAGGGCCTTTGCAGATTCAAGGCAATCTGTGCTTTTCCTGTGGTCCTTTTTATAGATAAATGATTAAAAGCAGCCCTGGATTAGCCATTAAGCCCATGCTTAGTGCCCCAAGGGAAGGTAGCCCCACAGAGATATTTCCTCTAGCTATCACGCCCATCACTGTTTCATTACTACACTCAACTTTTGTTAATTTTTTTGTTAACTGCTTAGACTTCAATCTGCATAACTGGCTCAATGCTGAAATAAAGTTTAAATGCTTAGCTTCCTGGATTAGCCATTAAGCCCATGCTTAGTGCCCCAAGGGAAGGTAGCCCCACAGAGATATTTCCTCTAGCTATCACGCCCATCACTGTTTCATTACTACACTCAACTTTTGTTAATTTTTTTGTTAACTGCTTAGACTTCAATCTGCATAACTGGCTCAATGCTGAAATAAAGTTTAAATGCTTAGCTTGCAGGTGGCATCAGATGTCACATTTATTTCCCATCTCAAGCCCTGCCTGGAAGTTTTGCTCCCCTTAAGCACCATTGTTGGGCTGTGCTTAAGGCATCTGTTGGCCTTAATCCAGCCCTGATAGAAAATGTAATTATTGACTGGATTAGAATGGCTACGAGCAGCATATTCCCCCGTGCTCATCAAGTTTTTGGTCACTCAGATTTTGAAAAGCTCCTTCCAACGAGGGGGGCAGCCAGATTCATTTAACAACCATGCCACTAACTTGATACTTGCAATGATTCACTTAACAACTGTGGCAAGAAAGGTCATAAAATGGGGCAAAACTCACTCGACAAATGTCTCACTTAGCAACAGAAATTTTGGGCTTAATTGTGGTCTTAGGTTGAGGACTACCTGTATTTCTCTGCAGGGACACAATATTGGCCTTGACTTACTTCCTAGGGGCTAGTTTCACTAAGGGGTGTTGGGTCAAGAATAAATCTCAGAAATCATAGAATAACAGAATTGGAAGGGATCTTGTAGGTCTTCTAATCCAACCCTGCTCAAGCAAGAAACCCTATACTATTTCAGACAAATGGCTTTCCAGTCTCCTCTTTAAAAAAACAACCCTCCAGTGATGGAGCACCCACAACCAAGCTGTTCCACTGGTTGGTTGTTTTCACTGTCAGGAAGTTTCCCCTTGGTTCTAAGTTGCTTCTTTCCTTGATAACTTTCCATCCATTGTTCCTTGCCTTCCCTTTTGGTGCTTTGGAAAATCCGCATCATGTCAGTCCTAGTCCTTCTTTTCATTAGACTAGACCAGGGGTCCTCAACCTTGGCAACTTTAAGACTTGTGGACTTCAACTCCCTTTGCTGGCTGAGGAATTCTGGGAGTTGAAGTCCACAAGTCTTAAAGTTGCCAAGGTTGAGGACCCCTGGACTAGACATACCCAATTCCTGCAACTGTTCTACATATGTTTTAGCCTCCAGCTCCCTAATCAACTTTGTTGCTCTTCTCTGCCCTCTTTCCAGAGTCTCAGCATCTTGTTTATATTGTGGCGACCAAAACTGAATGCTGAATTCCAAATGGGGTCTTACCAAGGCTTTATAAAGTAGTATTAACACTTCATTGATCTTGACTCTCTCTCTCTCTCTCTCTCTCTCTCTCTCTCTCTCTCTCTCTCTCTCTCTCTCTCTCTCTCTCTCTCTCTCTCTCTAATGCAGCCTAGTATTGCTTAAGACTTTCCCCGTCTTTAAGGCTCCCAATGTGAAGTAACGGAAACTCTTTTTTCCCCCCCTTCTCTGTTTTGCTCTTGCAGGTGAAAATCTGGTTCCAAAATCGCAGAGCCAAAGAAAGGAAACTAATGAAGAAAAAAATGACCACTTTTGATGGAGGCAGCCTGGCCTCCATCCAGAGTGACTCTGGTTCCTTGAGCCCTATTCCAGTTCAGGACCCACAGACTCACTCAGAAATGGCGGGCACTTTGTTTCCACCGCCAGCCCCGCTCCCTCCTCCTCCTCCTCTTATTTCCATGAATGGCCTTCAGCACAACGGAACGATTACAAGAGTTGTGGTCTCTCAGTGAGGACTTTCTACCAAGTCAAGAACACAACAACACAAGGGCCTTTGCAGTGGAGCCAACAGAGCTGTTGGCACTACAATTCCCACACCTGGCTTCCCCACGGCCCTTTGCAAAAGACAGAGGACTTTCCACCAAAGCTTGGTGACCACATAGCCATTTTGGACAAGAGGTCCTGTGATACCTGGGGGGAGGGTAAACCAAGAGCTCTGGGTTGCAAAGTTATGCTGGATGGAGGCAGCAGAACACCTGTCCTGCTTCTGTACTGGTGGTCCTGCACTTTGTTTGACTGGAGACTGGAAGTTTTCACACACCGCCACTTCAACCTCTCTTTTGTATTTTGTATTGGGTCACAGGGTGAAGATACGATGTCAAAAGAAATACCACACTAGCATAACATATTGTCAGGGTTGGGCCTACTACAACTCCTGTTTTGCAGAAGAAGAGAGATGGTGCTGGAATCTGATGTGGAAGAAAGCACAAAGCACAACCTGCTGTGAATCATAGCTTTTCTATTTTTATATATATATATATACCCTAAGATTCTAGTCTTTATCACAAAGAAATATGTTGGGAGGGAGTGACGTCTGTTTGAAAAACAACTCATCTAGGGATTGAGAAGATGGAGATGAGGCTCTGGAATTCTTTAAGCTCCTTGCTTTCACCACCACTGATATAAACTATAAAAGTTAAGAACATGACGCAAATGGGCCCAATTTGCACTATTTTTTTTAATCAATCATAATATTCAGTTTGATTTGGTGTGGGGCTGGCTCATCCGAATGCTGGATTTTAATGCTCAAAAATACACAGATATCTGACACCATTAAACAAATTTGCTGATCAACCAGAGTTATTATTTTATGGCTTCTTGAAAATCACATTGTTAAATTGAGATTCCTAACCCAGAATGCTTTCCCCTAGAGGTCTTCTGAGACGGATTCCTGTCTAACTGTAAGAGTAGTACACTTTTCAAGCATTGCCCAATTTTTAACAGCAAGTGGGCCACCGAGTTTCAAGACCATCTCAAGTGTTAAACAAATCTTCTGGGGAAGACCACAAATGTTGTTTGACAGATTGGTGAGCAATTTTTGCTCTATGTCTGGAGTACAAAGTACCGTCGCAGAAAGTAGAGAGTTTGAGATTATGTGAGAAATCTCTCCCAATTTTTTTATTCAAAAGAGGCACCATCACCCCGATTCTTCCTGCGAGTTTTCCAAAGACACCCAAATTCACGCCAAGTATCTTTCAGGAAAATTGGGTAAACGTGAGGACTACCATTCTTATTTTGTTTGAAGTCAGGAACAGTTTCCTGGTTGGTAGTTATTGGCCCATGCAATGAAAGATTGTGCCTCATTGGTAGGACACAAACAAGACTTTTATAGTTGGACTTCAGATCTAGTTCAAAGTTGCATTTGGAAGTTCAGGAGTATGGATTTTGTACTAATGCTAGAGAATTCTGTGACCCGTTGAGTCGTCCTTTGGGAGAAAGGCCATGAGGTCTGATGCGATCAGAATGAAAATTAAATTTTAGATTGACTATATTCTTTTGCCCCAATGCTGAATGGTCTGTGGTTATCTAGGAACAGCATACCTCATAAGCAGAAAAATAATTGTAGTGGTACTGAACTTCAATAATAGATCAATATTTACTTACCTAAGCAGATGACCAGACAGACATGGGTGGGCAAAAAAGCAGTAGGAGCTAGAATGACTTCTGACTTCCTACTGGCTTCCCCAGTAACTTACTGGTCATGCACATGACCTTTGCTATACCTTTGCAAATAAAACTGAACATTTTAATTCCCCAGGAGTAGTTGAGCCAGATTTTTTTAAATTATTCTTTAAGTTAGCAGGTTTTACATACCTTGATTCAAAAACTGTTGCTGTGTAATGCATCATTTGGGCTAATGAGGGTTACAAATAGATAAGCACAATGATACTTTTAGTAGTATATAAATGGTCTTTGAAAATATCCATTTTGTGATTCCAAGTTGCTAATGTTCTTTGCATGTACTTTCCTTTTATCACCAACTCTTCCTAACATAATTGCTTTCTCCACTGAATTCCCCTGCATGTCATGGCCGAAGTAAGTGAGATGCAACTCTTAGTACTGTTCTAGTCTTCTTGTGGAGTCATCTGATCAGGATTATCCTATAGGGCTGATGTCTTTTTCTACCATATCCCTGTGGCATTGCTTTCACTTTGTCTCCATGAATGAATTACACTTAATAAAGTAGCATTTTTCCTTTCCTTCCAGCCACATCCAATGGTGCTTCCAAGGTGTACAAAATCTGTTTGGCTCTCTCACCCAGGACTTTGGGAGGGAAATCATGGGATCACACTTATGGCCATAGATGCAGTAAAGTTAGGCTAGTACAGCCGTTAGACCTGAGTGATTTTTCTGCTGACTCTGACAAAGGGTGAAGAAACCACAGTGCAGAAATGAAGAAAGATATGTTAACAGACTCTAGATGAGTGGTGGCCAGTTGGATTCTCCTTGGAAGCCATATCAGGTTTTTGTTTGGGATTACACAACCATGGGAAAGATTTAGGTTCTCACAGTCCTTTCCTGTATATCTCATGTGTAGATGTGGAAGGCCTTCAGATATGCTGCTTGTGTTACTTTGAAACAGCAACTTCCAGGATAAAATGTAGCCAAAGAAATGAGCCTTTCAAAATCATTGGCAGAGAGGCATGGAAAAAGAAATATTTGACTAGCCAGATTCGCCAAATTTGGATGAGCCGTGGTTTCAGAACATGGTGGAAGAATCTTTCTTCATAACAGCTTATGCAAGAATTAAGTCTTAAGAAATATGTAAAAGTACTATGCTTTATGTTTTACATATGTCTTCTCCACCAATCTCTTAGAAAACCACCTAAAGATGTGGCCATCTTATCCAAGAGCAACTCATTCCATAATGTACATTCTAGATCAGGGATTCCCAGCCGGGGGTGTGAGATGATATTCCAGGGGGTGCGAAAACTTGAGTTTTCAAAATTATAGTGTATATGCATAATTCGCTGCTGTTATTTCAAACTTTTGTAAGGGGTGTGAGAATATATCAGAAGCGCTCTAGGGGTGCGGGGTATAGAAAAGGTTGGTAACCACTGCTCTAGATGAGGGGTCCCCAACCCCCAGTCCGTGGACCAGTACTGGGCCGAAGCATGCAGCAACCGGTCCGCACAAATGAGGAAAGCCCCATTTGCAGAATGCAGGCAGCACACAAAACCACACTATATAGTTTTTCCACGTGTTAAATTAGAAGGAGAGAGATCAAGAAGTTTTACCCATTTAGGAAGAACAATTGCAGGAATTGGGTATGTCAAGTCTAACGAAGAGAAAGACCGGGGGGGGGGGACATGATAGCAGTTTTCCAATATTTGAGGAGTTGCCACAAAGAAGAGGGGGGTCAACTTATTCTCCAAAGCACCCAAAGGCAGAACAAGAAGCAATGGATGGAAGATTATTAAAAAGAGTTCCAACCTACAACTAAGGAGAAATATTTTGACAGTGAGAACAATTAACCAGTGGAACGGCTTTGCCTTCAGAAGTTGTGGGTGCTCCATCACTGGAGGTTTTTAAGAAGAGACTGGACAACCACTTGTCTGAAATGGTCTAGGGAAGGGGTTCTCAACTTTGGCAACTTTAAGACTTGTGGACTTCAACTCCCAGAATTCCTCAGCCACAAGTCTTAAAGTTGCCAAGGTTGAGGACCTCTGCTTTAAGCATTAAAGTCTTAACAGAATAATGGAGTGGGAAGGGACCTTGGAGGTCTTCTAGTCCAACCCTCTTCTCAAGCAGGAGACCCTAGACCAGGGGTTCTCAACCTTGGCAACTTTAAGACTTGTGGCTGAGGAATTCTGGGAGTTGAAGTCCACAAGTCTTAAAATTGGCAAGGCTGAGGACCCCTGACTTAGAGAACCTGAGAAAAAACAGACGCCAAGGCCTGAAATTGTCTCTTCTGATTTTCCATTATCTTCCTCTCATCCCAGCCTTACAAATGTGAGCTTGGAAATCTTAGGCAGTGCATTTGTTACCGTAAACAAAATGCCTTATCTAGGTCTCTTTCTGTGACTCCTCGAATCTGCAGTTCCAGCTGCTGGCCAGAGAATGCCATTCTCCTCAAGATGAATCACAAATCTGAGATCACTGCTGAAATAGATCTGAAGAAAATGGGAGATAAAGAGCCAGACAGCTTTCTCTCTTGTTTCACAGATAAAACAACAAAGCTGAAGAGATAAAGGTACTGTATGCTATCTGGGGAGGGTTCTAACAGAGGTTGTGGAGAGATCCAGCAAGAGACTGGGATCGAAATTCAATCACAGATAGGCTGGCTTGAGGCTGGTCTAACGGAACAAGGATTTGGCGGACAAGAAATCCTTCTATGCACAGGTTCTCATTTGAACGTCCTCTGGTCTGAGTTAGTTCATTATTATCTTACTCTAAAGATAATAAAAGGAAAACTCTTCTCCCCATTTCTGTATATTACATAATTAACAAACAAAAGAATCCTTGCATCACAAACTCAGAAACATCCTTCAAGGCTGTTCAGTAAAGGAATCCAAATTAACCACAACACTTGAGGGTTCAACTCCAGCATCTGAAGGAATTGAGTGGTTCTGTTTTGTTCTAATTTATTCATGCCTTGTTTTCTCTTTCCCCTTCCTTTCTTTCCTTCTTTCTTTCTTTCTTTCTTTCTTTCTTTCTTTCTTTCTTTCTCTTTCTTTTCTTTCCTTTTATCTCTCTTCCTTTCTCTTTCCTTCTTTTCTATTTTCCCTTTGTTTTCCTTCCTTCCTTTCTCCCTCCCTCTCTTCTTCCTTCCCATCCTTCTTTTCTTCCCTCGCTCCTGCCTCCCTTCTTTATTTTTTTGTTTGTTTGTTTCTCTTTTCTCTGTCTTTCTTTCTCTTTCCTTCTTCTCTATTTTCCCTTTCTGTTTTCCTTCCTCCCTCCCTCCCTTCTTCCCTCCCATCCTTCTTTTCTTCCCTCACTCCTGCCTCCTTCCTTCCTTCCTTCCTTCCTTCCTTCCTTCCTTCCTTCCTTCCTTCCTTCCTTCCTTCCTTCCTTCCTTCCTTCCTTCCTTCCTTCCTTCCTCTGGGCTCCAACAGTTTAGCAAATGAAGGCAGTGAATCTACATGGAGGAAGCTCTCCATTGAAGCTTCCTTGTGCAGCAGCATTGTTTCCTTTGTGAGAAACTATTTTAAGGGGGGGGAGTCAAGAGCCACCTTCCTTTCCCAAAACCCCAAGTCCTAAGTGGCCACTCTTGGGAGGTTCCCTACTCTCAGCATCCAGGGTCCTGTTGAACCTGCTGTCTTTCAGCGAAGCAGAAGGCGCACCTGCTTCTTGGGGAAGGGCAGAAGTCAGCCTACCTGTTGGCTTTCTGTAAACGGACCTTAATTGGGGCATTTTGCAGCTGCATTTTCTCAGGGAGCTGACAGAAGCTTCATCAGCAGGGATCCCCAGCTCCGTTCCTCACTCATCCTTGACTTTGTCTTGAGATCTCCCAGAAAGGCCAAGCGTGGCCAAGTCAGCTGTTTTTCTCTCCACACTTTGCAGAAAGGAGCGGAGAGGAATGCAAGAGAGTCACACCCTCGGACAGTCACAAGCAATGCCACGGAGCTTCTTCCTTCTGCTAGCAAAAATAAACAGTATTCAAACAAACAATAAGGCCAAAACCTTTGTCCTCTCTCCTAGTCTCTTAGCCCTTAAATGCTGGGACAATGTTCTCTATTCCAGGGCTTTTAAACCTTTTCACCCCTTGTACCACTTTTGGGATATGGCAACCTTTGAGTACCATCAGTCGCCTAGCAAGGGGTCAAAAACTTGATGACCAAAAAAAAAAGGAAAAAAGTGATAAAGTACAGGTAGTCCTCGACTTACAACAGTTCGCTTAGTGACTGTTTGAAATTACAATGGCACTGAAAAAAGTGCCCCCTAAGCCACAGCCAAGCAAGACACCTGCCTGCCCACCCGGCTGCGTTCTTCCTCCTGTCCGAGGTTTTCATTGCTGTTGAGGATTTCTGTTGAGGATTGGCAGTGGGGGTTGCAGCAGGTTTTGGTCACTTCACATGACCCTCAGATACTGTGACTGTCATAAATATGAATCAGTTGCCAAGCATCTGAATATAAACCACAAGACCCTGGAGATGCTGCAACATTCCAGCTGATTGGCGCTTCTTCTGGGCTCAGCAGAAGCGCCAGGTTCAGTGCTGCTTTCCAGCTGATCGGTGCTTCTTCAGGGCTCAGCAGAAGCACCAGGATCAGT